TGACAATGACTGTGTTCGAGCTGAAATTAGACGCCTATATCGCCATACCAATTGTATAAATCGTAAATTCTATCATTGTTCGCCCGTTGTGAAAAAGACTTTGTTTATGTCCTACTGTTCTCAGTTGTTTGGAGTCCAGTTATGGAACTCTGTTCATGCGAGTGTACTAGCTAAGTGTCGTGTTGCATACAATAATTGTTTTCGTATTCTCCTTAAGTTGCCAAGAGGTTGTAGTGCCAGTTCAATGTTTGTACACCTCTCGACCGATACATTCGATGCTAGACGCAGGAAATTGTGTTATGCTTTCATTAATAGAATATACGCCACCAATAATAGCATTATATGCTGTCTTTTGAGATCAGACTGCCAATTCAGGAACACGTATTTTAAACATGTATATAGATTGTTGTGTGTTTAGTGTCTATGTGGTCCTGTCTGTACTATGGGTTTTTTCCTGAAATAAAGTCATTCATTCATTCATTAACTCGTGACGAACGCTTTTGTATCGACGCTCATAACCTGCGTACATGGGAAACAGCGTAACCACAAGATCGTTAGCCCCCCCCCCTGGACAAATCAATGGTCATCAATCAACCCTGTCATGTAGTACCTGTCATGTAGTGAAGTTCATCACATTTTACAGCTTAACAGCTTTCCCAGATGTGTAGTTATCTCATCGACCAAGTGTAGAAATGACATAACTTGCAAAAAAGCCCATCGGGCCGTCCTGAACGCTGCAAGTTAACTATGGACCATGAACAACTTAGACATGCCAAACGCTCTCCTTAGCTAGGCAAAGCCAGAAAAAAATTCTCAGTAGTGCTGGTATTTTCTGGCGCCTGTGTTACACATGATTATTCAACAGTGACAGAAAGCCGTGTAAACATACATCGCTATGCGAATAACACGGTATGATCTGTACCCTTTGTAGTCATACAATGGTCTATTATTTGTCGACTCTGGTCGTTAATGGTGTATTCATCGAGAGCTGGTACTTCCAAGAAAGTCTAGTGTTCTACGTAAAGCCTTAGCTGAGTGTCTTGAGTTGAGTGAAATACGTGACGCCTCTAAAACTTTAACCACAAAAGTCACGCCTGAAGTAACGACTACCTGTTAACGTTAAGCACAAAATCACTTCCAAGAAATTCGAGAGGACGCTGTCCCCACTGACGGGGTTCTTCTGTAAGCCCACGTGCGCACGTGTCGTCTGGCAATGTTCCATTCATACAAATCTCTCAGTATTACTATTAGATCTAGCCGTCTGTATAAGCTTCCAGGGACTGTGGTGAAAAAGTTTTGAGAAGTCAATTTAGGCGGGCACGAGGGGGAGAAAATAACCCTGCAGATGGTATGTAAATCTTAGGAGAACCCCCTCCCTCTTTCCTATCGTCCTTCCCATCTAACCTCTAAGGCTAAGGTCAGGTACGATCACTCAAGAAGAGAACATGAGCACAAAGGTTTGGGTCTAATCAAGTCCACATGTTAGAGTGCTAGATGTGCTGTGTATCCTGTAACGGCACAAACTTGAAGCAGTAAGCAAGCATGATCGTATACTGTAGCTACGCAGTATTTGGGGTACTGAGACTTGTATACTGTTTGTATCAACATGAAGGCCCCATAATGCAGGCTTAGCGGTCTTACGTACGCATTCCTTTAGAACTGAAAAATAATTGCTCTTCTGTTAGATGGGTAGTTAGGGAGCAGTTTGTAAAAGAAACGGTCAGATAGGAAAACATTTTGCCTCCCCACATCTGCTAGAAGATTAGTGGTTGTCGACCTCCCTCAGTCATAGTACCAGCACTTTGGTACATACATGTATAAAGATTTACACTGTGCGCCCCGTGGGTCATTAATGCCGTTCAGTGCATCATGTGTTACCACAAAGAGTCATGCGTGCCAAAATACACAGACTTGGGACCTTATACCTTTGTGGCCTTCGATCTCAAATGCTTTACCAGGTAGACCGAGTGAGCCCCACTTTTTCCAAGCTCCGCCCAGATGTTATGACGCACGTGGTTTATTGACACACGGACGAAGATAGGGACCGCGCCTGACCTGTTCAATACAATCACCTCTCCATAAACAACTCTTTTACCTACTTAGAACAGCGCTACCGTCTCAAGTGCGTGTTCGCCAACTTGTTGCGTCATCGCCCGTCACGTATCGAAGAATTCCTGCAGCTTCTGTGCGTTTAACTATATTTGTATAAAGTACCGTAAAACAACTAGAACAACAAAGGTGTTCTATCCGGTATTTTCTGTTCAAACTTTGTCGTTTTATTAAAGAACAACAGTTACACCACCCTTGGTTTGTAAGTGTTAAGTCGACAGGGTATTCACACTGATACCACTACAATGGCCCTATAATAATAGTATAATGTTCAGTCTCTACTGTCAACAGATCCAAGCAGAGGTCGGATTTTTGACTCCTTCTCACCATGTTTATTTACGACGCACAAAACATGCGAAAAGACGACTAAAACGTGCTGAAATCCGAACTTTCTTGAAGAATACGCCCCCCCACACACACACACACGATGACCACAACAACGTTAACTGAGAAGAGAGAATTTCTGATTCATGTGTGGTGATATGAGATACTAGACTTCGCGTCAGAGCCATGAATAACGGGTGTGTTTTGAGTTCCATGAGAAATTAAAGTGACTGATCCTAGCTGCACCTTAGACGCCCCGTCACAGACGTCCGTCAAAATGCTTCAAGTGCGTCGTCATGATTATTTCAAAGTGCGGTACAGAACGTTGTCTCTTGATGCCTGACTTGACCTGTTCAACAGCCAACAAACGACGGCCCCAAGAAGTTTATTTTTGAATGCGTTTGTAGTAAAGGATTTTAGCGTTTGTGTGATCACTTGGTGCTGACAGATCTTACATATCTTTCTGTTGTTTGAGTGCAACGTGTGGAGCTTATTCGTGGAAGTGATGCCATTCAAAGCTACATGTATGTTTGGACTTTGGACGGACCGAGAACTTTTTAGTCGGCCGACTAAAGTTACGTCCCCTTCTGAGAACTGGTAAACGTTCGTCGAACCCAGCAGGTGTAAGACTAAGTCGAACAATAGATATATAGGGAGGGTCAAATTCAGAGAACTGCACAAGAGCAGTCACGCATGGTATACGTGCAGTTGCCAGGATGCTGTAATGGTCTGTAATTTTTCACAGATCAATGTTTAGAGGAGCGCACCCAATAAACTTTTGAACTTCACGATTCACCATAGTTCAGATCTACGCGTGTCTTCTGGTCACTGGCCTGACACTTGGCAAGCTTCTCTCCTGACGGACTGCCTCTGACAGTGTTACGTGCCCAGGTGACGGGGTGTGACGTCTTGTTTTTCTGTACACGCAACACAGATGAATGGATAAGAAGACAGACAGACAGCACTGAGTCAAGACGGGTGTAGTGTTACACCGCGTCTGCATCACTCCCCGGCCCGTGCAAATACCGACGGCGAAGGCAAACATGCCTTGAATTTTTGTCCTGGTCATGCAAGGTATCTGCTCCCTCACCACCCACGATTTACCCTTGTGTGCTACGTGCATGTGACGGCTGTACTTGTAAACCATTGCACTTGTATACAATATTATACCTATGACATAGCATAAAACATTATCTGTGTTATACGAGTACAGTATTAGAAAGGTAAATAATGGGGCAATGGACCTGGACTACGAGTAGCATCAGGTGGTTCCAAATCAATCAGACGTCATGATCGAAATATTGGCACAGACATTGTCGTGCATCCAACACACTGACAACGATATTGATTGTAGTATTATTATTGTCGGATCTGAAAACGTCTGTCGGTACATGGTTGCCGCATATGACGCATTACGTCAGCGTGTTTCTTTATCACACATTCACAGTGCCCCGTGTTTTACATAGCCTGCGTCATGGACTGTCTGTCCTGTTGCAATTTATTTTCTTAACCGTCAAAAAAGGATATCACGAATCTAAGTATTATCTAACCCACGTCTAGCCAGTCTAGCCATGATTACAGTGTAATTTACACATTTCTAATTTATTGTTCTGATGACGTCTTACCCTGAACCTACTAGTATGTAATCCTAACAGCAACATTTTCTGAATTTCGGTTGTATATTGTAGGTTATGTTTGTGGCCATCCTGCGTCATGTCTTGTTGACCGTTACGCAGATAAGTGGTAAACAACAGAGAATGACATATACAAAGACGTGCACGACGTGAGGATTTAGACATTGGCGGGGCCCATTCACGGCTAATCTTTAGAAGTACCTTGGAATGAAAATAAGTCCTGACATTTATAGTCTGAAACAGACGATTTACGTCCAGGAACGCGGAATCTCCATTATTTGTCCTGCTAATCGGATCAGAGAGATTTGCTAACCCTCGGTGGAATTTGATGATCGCCACGACACGACGGTACCACATGGCGATACATGGTGAGATGAGAGCGCCCATTCAGCGCTGGGTGTGTGCCATTCCTATGACATCATCAAGTACCAGGAGTTCTGAGAAGTCCAGACCCTTTTCATGCTACTCATGAATTTATCATGTTCATTGTGTGTTTGACTGTGAGTAATGGGCGGGTCGTGACACCACAGCTGCCTTGCTTCTGCGTTCCTCTCAATGGGTCTTTTACTTACTCATCCCACGCAGTACTTATCCTTTCAATACCTTTCTAATGGTAGTGAACAACAAATGTGCGTTCTTCGAGAATAAATTTAAAGACGTTCATTTAATAGTCACGTCTTGATGTCACGGATATATTATTAGAATTATTGATAATTCGGGATTGCCTGCAGCCAAGTCCAGTTACAAATGTTCTTCCGTCATCTACCCAGAATCCGCTACCCCGCCAACAAAGGTTTTTGCAAATTGGCTGTTCACGTTCTCCCCTTCCTACTTTCAAAATTTATCTAAATGTCAGTAAATGTTGATGTTTTCAAGGAGAAACATTATAAAAGCTATCTAAAATACCAGCTGAAAACACAACGCAACAGATTCTGTTTCACGATGATGTATAATTTATTCCAACAAACGTATAAAAAGTACAAAGTTCAACACTTCACTAAGTGGCACTTGGTATACATATATATAGATAGATATATTTAGAGAACGTCTCATGTATCGTACAAAAGTATACAAATACCTTTTACTTTCAATATAAAGTCCTCCAAGAGATTCATTGTCTCTGTCCATTGTGAATCACAATACTGTGAATGGTAACTCTCTTTTTCATAGATTCAGTGGTCTTACGACTAACACATAGCCAGGTTTTGATTATTTTTCACAAATAAGTTTACAACTGAACAATGACAACATATTTACATGTCTTCACATAAGGACCTGTACACTAAGTAATACACCATTTGGCGTTAAAACGTTTCTGGACGATCAATATCATTGTCCTCGCAACATGTTAAAATTCAGGTCCTGCCATCTAGTTCAACCCTCTGCAACAAACAAGAACATCCAAAATACATACATATTGCTTTGGAGAACTAGCCTGACGCCTGCATCACTTCTTCTGTTCTTTTAAAACTTTATCTTACTCTTAGGTCAATCCCATATAAAAAATATACAAAGTTTGACATTTATATTCACAAACATCGATAACAAGACACAGTTTCTAGAGTCATTTCACTGCAGTATGGATACAGATCTTAGCGGGAATGGATGTGAGTGGATAGGTTCTCACTCAGAAGGTACACAGAACTGTTTGGCAGTGAATAAGTGAGGTTAAATACACAATTGTTGATCAAATGCCAACGGAGTGTTTTTACATCCCTCTTCTTAGCTTGGGTGGTACCCAACAATACGACTCTATTTCCCTGGGCTGGTTGGTACAAACCCTGGATATTGTTAGGTTATACAAGGGGACCAGCCCGAAAGAACACTTGGTAGGTCCCAACAGTGGACCATAAACTGCACACATGCGAATGTCGTATTGCACTTAGGCCAAGAACATGGCCCTTTACATGTCAGTACAGAACCGACGCCAAGTGAGCCAGAGAAATTAGCCCGCCAACACGAATGATGGACGGACAAGAAATGCAAGACCGTGTGTCACACAGCCAGACCTGATCAAGTCATCATTGCTTTAGCCAGATTAAAAGTTCGGCTCACTTCTCGTCGTCCTCGTCGTCGCTGGGGACGGGTTTGAGGTCTACCATGGCGTGGATCTCCTCGGGTGTGTACCCCAGCAGGTTCTGTAGGTCGCACACGAACCGGTACACGTACCGCTTCCCAGACGTCTTGTGGATGATGTTCTTGTCGTAGTAGTAGCGAAGACCACGGCTGAGCTTCTCGTAGTTCATCTTTGGCTTGTTCTTACGGATGCCCCACCGGCGGGCGACCTCGTCAGGGTCGATGAGCTTGAACTCCCAGCCGTTGCCCGTCCAGGTGATGAAGTGCTGGCAGGACTTGTCTGTCAACAACTCGAGCAGGAACTGCCAGAGCTGAATGGGGCCACTGCCTGTTGAAACAAAGACAAGAAGAATTAAGTAATTTTGTTTCACACGTGTTAATCATAGTACATATATTGACATTGAAACGTTACAGCAGCTGACCTTAATCTCAAGAAACCTTGCCTCACACAGAAGCAATTTCTGCCTTGACAGGTTTATCCTCCCACTAAGTTATACAGAGCTTGTTTTCTGTTTAAAATTAAAGGTTGTAACCTCTTACCAACCTCCCCCAACTACATCAGAGAATTATACAGAGCTTGTTTTCTGTTTAAAATTAAAGGTTGTAACCTCTTACCAACCTCCCCCAACTACATCAGAGAAACTGTAAGGGTCTTTATCCCAACACTCACCAGAATATCCGGCCAACACAGCGGCTTGGATGACAGGGTTGCCGGGTTCGGCTGTCTGCGGTCTGGACTCCTGGGTGTTGAATGAGAAGTCGCTGAAATCCCCGTTGCCGTGGCTACTGTTGAGGGAGGAGAAGGAGGGGACCCGCTGCAGACCACTGCTCGACTGGCTGTAGCTGCCATAGGGAGAACTACTGTTGTTGTACTCTCCCTGGTATGTGTTGTTCATCCCTCCGAACTTTCCTAACAAAACACAAATTGAACAAGGCGATGTTAGAAAAACGTCACGTGAAACATGTGCATAATTTCAAGGGGAACCAAAACAGTTGAAAGTGAACAAGATGGATTTAACAATGCATGTAGATGCCTACCTCTGTTTGGCCTCTCGTACGCCTGTCCTCCGGACTGCATGGGCTTGGTGTTTCGCTGGAATGTGGGGTAGTACTCAGGGACAAGGCTGTCGTAGGATTCCTCCGTCTGGTATGATGAGCATGGGGAGGGGGTGCTTGATGCCCAGCTGTAGTAGTCGGAGTCTTCGGTCTTGATCTTGTGCGTTGGTAGCAGGTCTTCTGCGTTGATGTCGTTCAAGGTCTGCAGAGATTCTGAGATCTGGTAGCTGGTGCCCTCCATGAGCTGTGAATCCAACATGGGGACGCCTCCACAGTAGGCCTGCCCCGGCAACGCTCCTCTGGCCAGGAAGTCGTTGAAGTCAGGCATGCAGACGGATTCGTAGAAATTGGCTGGCACACTTTCCAAAGGAATGTTTGTGGTCTTGCTGACAAACTCCTGTTGTTTGTCTTCATCCACTTCTGTAGAAAACATAAAAGGAACAAAGGACGGTTAAGTAACGCTTCAGGGTCAACTGAACTATAGAATTTCACAAGGATAAATACCTGGAAATTTCGAGTTCTAAAAGTGCATGACTGTATATTTACCTTTCTGCAGCATGTCCAGGTGCTCCCACAGGATGTCCCCAACAAACGGAGGGGCCAGGCTGAGGAACCTGTCCTTGTCCATGGAGCACAGCTCTCGGCCTGTCACTGTGAAGTTGGAGGGTCGGATTCCGTGCAGAGAGAACTCCCTGGACGCCCAGGAGACCCACTGCAGGACCTGTGTGTCAGACCACTGGCGAGGATCTGTCGAGAAAAATAAACATAGCGATGGTGAATATCATTTTTAAATTAAATACTCCGGGTGTTGGTAAGGTAATTGAAGAATACATTTTCTATCTATGATATGTATGTTTGTCTGTTGCTAATTTGTACTCGAGGGAGGTATAATTACATGAAATCCAAACCCACTTTAAAGCTTTTAAAATTTAACCGTCGCCCTGAGGCACAAGAGCCCAACCCATGGTGACGTATGGGGTAATTCACCCCCGGTGTTTTCCCAAGAAACTACCACTCCAGTAGAATCGCTATCCCTTTGTTGTGATATCTATTATTCATCATCATCATTAGTAGTACATGTATTAACGAAGCCCCCCTCAATAAAAATGAGAGGATATTTACCTTTGAGGATCCCAAATTTCTGTCGCTCCTCCTTGAAGCTGCTGTAGCTCTGTTTGAGGCACTCCGTCATGAGAGCGTTGGTGCCAGGCGTCACTGGTGGAATGGCTGGGTGCAAGTCTGTGAAGACAAAACATAACAAGCTCGCTTTATTTCTCGCTCCATGGTTAACGTCATCAACAGTCAGCCGTCTGTCAACACGAAGGGCGTTCCAGTTGCGGAACATCACGAAGTACAAACTTTACACAAAGGGGACACTAGCGGCCTTCAGGCATAAGCTAGCGCTCTTGGATAAACACGTGTAGATTTGCACGGCCTGGTGACATGCTGTCGCAATCACTTCAAGCCTGACCTCGACCACATAAATAGGTAATGGTTGGCATACAAGGCATTCGAGAACTAAATTCCAATTTGATTACCGAAAAAACAAATGACTATTGTTAAACGGACTTGGATAATATTCAAATAATGGAAACATCTTTAGAAAGAAAGCAGTTTAGAAAGTTGAAAAGTTAAACAGTTAATAGGGCAATGACCGGACGCATGCACTATGACAGAAGAGTGATTCACATTTAGACCATGTAGCGTTAGTAGCGGAAGGTAATCTAATACTCAAAACATAAAGAGAAAGAATGAAAGGTAAAGAAATATCGCCAGCAAATTCCGGCGAAAAAAATACCTGAAGACATGGAAAAACCAGAGCCGAAGTAACTAAAGGACTGCAAAAAGTGACGAACGGTCGGTAGAAATGAGAAAAGAGGCGAATCGTGCTGCCGTCCCAAGCGAAAACAGAAGCCAGAATGATCAAGCCAGCAGGCACACAGGCTTTAGTAGTCAGTGGCCTAAGAAATTTGGGAAGTGTGCGTACCCCTGATAAGAACCATCCTTCCCGAACCGCGGCGTACTCTAATGTTACGGTCGTCTGGCACGATCACCAGTTTTATGAATGAAGGCTGGCGCGGGTGACATCATACATAAGCATTGTTTGAGCCCTACCTTATTTGGTCACGTCTAGTGAGGGACGGACGCCCACGCGTGACGTCATAAATCCCGCCTCCTAGAGGGCCCGGGGCCAGATCAGGTGATGCTTGATTTGAATGAGAAAAGCCTTCTTTGGGAGTATTGAATTCGGCTTATTGAATGAACACATGTGGACTTCAGACTTCAACACTGATGTCCTCTTTTCAATTTGAGACGGAATCAATCATATCAATTCTGAACCTTGTCTCCACCGCCTTTCCTAATATTGTTAGGCCCCGACACACTCGCCTAAAAGGTTACCCGTAATCCCTGTAAATAGGAAACACCTTTGCTGAGTAAAAACCAAGGAGGCACACTGATACCGTGCCTGTATCCATGCGATAGTAGGGCTCAGGTTTCCAATTTTACCCTGTCAGCGACTCAAGAAGACTATTTTTGGCGCTGGCATTTGATTGGATGTTTAGTTGACCTTCTGTGTAATTGTGAGACGAGGTTTGATCTGTCCTTCGCGCGCTCTCGTATCTCATTACTGCCCTGCAAGGCTAGCTTATCTTTTGGCAAAGTTGCAAGGTCAGCCATCCCCAGTGAGTCAGCTTGTTTGGATTACACAGAAATGAGATGTCTTGTTTTTCAGAAGCCCAGGGGACTCCTTCCCACCACTGCCTGAGGCCATTCTGAGGGCGCGAATTCTCTACGCACACGGTACCACAAACCACGAGATGGGTACAATTGAATTGAGTCTTTCCATCGGGCTATTTGAATTGGGTGTGTTTTGGATTAAAGATCGTGTTTATAATCATTTTGCCAATCCGACGTAATCTGAGACGTTTCATACATAATTCATCCATGACCAGGAATGCCACTGATTACATACGGGGATTTGTTGACAGAACTAATTAAAACGGCAAAGATAAGTTGGCAAAAGACAAACAGTGCGAGAAATGTGAGAGCAAAGAAGAAACAAATTAGCAAAAGAAAAATAATCAGCGACAGGCTCTAGGGATTAAAAAAGAAAAACGGTGGTCAGCGAGAAACTTTGTTAGTTTCCAGTATTCCGAATTAAAAATATATTTGGACTTACCGATAGAAATGTCTTGGTCGTCCTGCAGGTACTCTGCGCCAGTTGGCACCACACAGTCCAAGTCTGATGTGGGGGACGGCAGTGTGAAGGTCAGAGTCTTCCTCACTTTTGTGTCCGCTTCAACCAGCTGGGGAAAACACAACAACATAACATTTAATCCACGGTGGAGACAGCGTTATTTCTGAAAAATTAACTGTGCTTTAGAAAACACAAACGAAGACGGCCTGACGATACGTACATTCCTGTTGTAAATGGTAACATTGGGACACGTCACAAAAGGTTCCGCACCCGACATACTTAATCACTGGAAAAATAATATTACGATCGGAACTTTCGGAACAACAAGTTGACTGTCAACATGCATGTGGTGATGAACTAATGACCAGGGGACCCCCAGACTGTGTTTATACCGTGTGCCTGTTGGATTATGTTAGTCACCTGTCTGATTACCATGCCCACACGGCACACCTTGTCTGTAGTAAACAATACCCGGGAGGTGACATGAGATGGCCGTTTTCCGGACACAAACCACCACGTCAGGTGAATGACCCCAGGACAGGTATGACCAGGTAAAGGCCCGGAAACTCCAGACAATTGCGCCATGTGACTAATGTTTACACAAGTGTTTCACTTTGTCAGAATTGTGTGGGAGTACATTTTGGTACGAATAAACAAACATCCACGGTGTAGACAGAAAACATGCCGCGTCCAAAAATATTGACTTTATTCGGGGATCCTTCCAATTCAGCTTCATTAATTACGTAAGTCTCATGATGTTGACATAAGTGCTAACGAGACTACAGTGATTAACGATTGAAAAAAGGAGGTTGATTGAAAATATAACAAGAGTTAGACTACTTTAGAACATGAACTGTGAATATTTTCCCCATAATTTTTATAGTGCAGTGATTTTGGGAGGGGGAAATAATGTCAGAAGCTTGCTAGCGAGTAAGATCCATGGATCCAGGTCTACGGGTTAGATAGCTGGTGTGTTTGCCACACATCGCAACGTGAGTTGGCCGCTTGCCAGGCTTACGCATCGGTTGGCAGTACACAAGCTAATCAAGTATGTGTGAGGTCAGGACCCCTGTGACGTAGCGCACCGGAGCGGGGCTCATGTTCGGTGTTACGTGTGGGGAATCTCTGATATCCCCGAGAGACCATTCACATGTTGTAGCCACATTTCTGGACGTTCCTACTCCACTGAGACATGTCCGTATAGCCCCAGTAACAACCACGCCAGGATCTACTCGAGTATTTTTTGTTGGTCGCTGTATTTTATTTTTCTCGAAAAATTTAGCGCATAAAATAATTCTGTTGGATGTAAATTTCCCATTTATTTCGAACTTGTTCACTAAACGACTCTACTGATAGAACTAAAATTAGGACCAATTGCCCTAAACCACATTAGGGCACTAGTAAATAGTCAGCAACGCTTGTGTAACACAACATGGCTTCATTTATCAGATTGTACGGCGCATTTGTGCAAGGTGGGGCGAAAGCAAACAACACACAAGACGGCAAACATGTTGGACTGTGCCGGCTGGCACATGAGGGGGGAACCCCGGATAAGATTTGAGGGAGCGTGGAAAAATCTAGAAACATTTTGACATAATTTGATGTAAGTTTGTTCTTACCTTAGTCGATTTCAGGCCTGGGGCCATAGTATTGACGAGGCTTGTGGGTACCTTCATCATGGATGTCTCTGAAAGTATAAACACTACATAAATATTTCGTACATCAATGGAAGCTTGCGTTGTTTAATTTAAATATTCAGTGTGTGTGCTCTCTAGTTTGTAAACATCGCCAGATATTAGTCTGCAGATCTAACAATCAATTTATTTTTCAATCCAATGTAGGGACACGACCCGACGCTAGCGCCGAAGTGGTGAGCGAATCTCAGCTGGCGGCACTGAACTGCGTGTGTATTTTTCAATACACATTTATTACAAGAATTCAATTTGTACAGTTTCACAGCTACAGTTGCTGATACATGTGTGATTCATCCGCCTTTACACATATCTCTGCACATGTAAGTAAACGTGGCTACTTCTTGAGTACAGACAGCTGTACCGAAGTACCGCTAAACGGTCGGCGGCTAGCGGCTGGTGCTATGGCGCCATGTTGAAATGAAGAAATCGTGGCGCGCGCCCGACTAATTCATTATATAAAACAAGACCTCCCCACTCGAAGTCGCTCACATCGTAGTACAAAATCAGGAAAATAACCCCCCAAAAAACAAATCAGATCTCACCTTGGGAATGGTTCAGAAATCCTGGCTGAGTAGTCGATCTCGCGTCTTGGCGCCCGTTGAGAGGTGTGAAACGTGGGCGACGATAAGAAATTTTACTGCGGTCAAAAATTATATTATTGTCTAACGATCCTGCTGACCAAACGGGGGCGTATCTAAAATATCCTCAAATTTGAACTACCCCCACGATATTTAGTCACGCTTTCTTAGCGTATCGAGTATTCCTCAGGAAGTGAACGTTTCAGACTGTCCACCGACGCGGCTGATAAAGCATTTATACCCGAGAATCCCGACGTTGCAAAACAAGGTGGCATGTGCGCCGTCTGATTGGCCCACGTCACGAGGGGTTGGGTATGTTATAAACACCTTCTTATGACGTCGCAACTACGTCACGGAAAATCGATAATGGCTGACAGCCCTTCTATTGTTCAGGCAGTAATCCGACACGCCATTTTATGTATGTTCTCTGACCCATGCTGACCCAGCCAATAGTAAGCTAGCAACGCTGTGACGTAGCCCAAATTAAAAACAAATGTCACTTCCATATAAGGTAACATTCTGGGCTACCCCGACTTACGCCGAAGGCAACCCAACACGATCTATTCTTAGAAAGGAGGTTCCCAAGTAGCGGTCGCTGGACGAGAAACGGGTCAGAATGCGGTCGTAAACCTGACTATTGTGGTTTAAACATGAATTGCGAATGGATATCCTATGGAGATGTGGAGTATTTTTGATAGCTCGTCTGCTAAGAAACGCACGAGGGATACGCAATAAAGATGTAAAGTTTGTTTGCGTACTTGGCTGTAAGGGACTGTTTGTACGCAACCAGCTTTATCAACAGGCTGATCGTAACTCAACATGTAGGTTTGTTTATGTGGAGTGATAAACGTCATCGACCACAGTTCTCTTTGTTCGGTTGACTTGTTTTGATCTTACGTTTACAGAGACCAGTGTTTTGTGGCCAACACTGGGGGTAGGTGATACCAAAAGCTCCTTGGTGATACCGTCTTCAGAAAACATAAACATATAACGTTATAATAACTTATATATTTCAGGGACAAACCTAGCAAAACATTCTAACATTTCAGACAAACACATCGCCTACATGTAGTATGTCTACCACTCCAGACCAATATAATGTGAAATAATGATTATGTAATAAAGTTCTGTTAGTCGTGTAACTTGACTTGCTTTATCCGATCCGATAATTGTTTACGCGCCAATGCCCAGTTTTTAAAACCCCGTGAGGGAAAGGTCAACACTTGTCTTGAGCCAACAACAACAGGCATGAACAGACAGGGTGCTGACGTGTTGTGTTGTTGGTTATCACCTGGGCACGACAGGCTGTTTTATGAAGACATATTGGTGTCGTTGTCCCCAGCTACGTGCACCGTCACCACGACTTGGCACCTGTTTGTTCTGGCTCCAGGCCAGGGTCTGGCAAGGACAAACACACAAACAGCCCAGAAATATATAGATTCTAAGAAGGAGGTTAGAAGCCCAGAAAAGTTCTAGATATACATGTACATGGATAATAAAACTGAGCAATTAAGTCATGTCTCAGCATCTAACATACGTAAAGTTAACCTTCATCTACAAACGTTTCAGGCTGAAACGTTTAATACTGATAATAGCAACTGCATTAATATTTGTGTGAATGTTGTTTTGCACGTACAGCGAGGCGAACAGATGAACCGCATAGAATTTTAATAATGTAGTAGGAACAAGGACACACTTCTGTATAATGTCCTTGGTAGGAAGATATGAAGGATAGGAAAAGTTGAGTAGTAAGATGAGAAGCCAACGCTGTGCATCTTCTTGGAGATTTTCCAAAGCTCACCCATATGAATAACAGAAATCGTCATCACAAAAAAGTAACACGTCTTACGCAACACTCGACGCATGTTGACCTACAGTTACCTCGCCTCACAGACCAAATGGCAGCGTCTATGGTGAACCGAAGTAACCCGGTAATTACCCGCAAGGCTGCCTAGGTGTCTTCTTTCTCAAAGTTTCTGGTGTGCCTATGACCAATGAAAGAGACAGGTAATCCCATAAGATATTTCTCTGAAAAACGATACGAAGAGTGGTAATCACGGTAACAATGGTTAATACACAGGAGGGGTCGATGGCCTTCCTTTACTACGGGGAAGGCAAACGTGTTTGATCCGATGATTAGTCCTTCGGAGAGAAGTCACCATCAAACAAGTGTACCGTAGGGTGTTGTAGATTACTATTGTCCTGGTACATGCTAAGGAACAGGGCTAGATATAGATTTCCTGTGAGCTACATCCTCTCTAACTTTAGCACAGGGTACTGTAGTAACAATCGTACTATACTCTACTAGACTCTTCACGTTCCCCCATTGCAATTTTCTCAAGATTTTAACATATCCATTCCTATTTAGGTCGATATCCTAAAAAGTCATACAAAGGAATGACAGCCTACGTAGCAGCATGAATTAAGAAAGTCGTAGCAGCATGAAGTAGAGTTAGAGTTGACAACTTGTGGTAGCAAATCTGTCACAAACAACAAAATCCCACAGTAGTTTGGGTGAAGGTCAACTCAGGAACGTGTATTTTGGCACGGGCTGGGTTCTTGGAAGGTTCCATCTGCACAGGGAGGCTATTTGATCCCCCAAACAAACTTGTTCAGCGGTTTGGTCTGTCGTAAGATCATAACCCCCAACTGTGTTTGTCAATTGGGTTACCGTACGTAGCAGCCCCTCCCCTGACCTGAGATGACCCGACAACGCCAAGGGCGACGGGTACATGGGAATTTCTCGGAAGTCGCGCAATGTTTTAGTACGATGTGGATTAATATATTACCGTCAGCCCACATTGGGTGGCATATTCATTTATTACAGCAGTAGAATGTTAAGTATGAAGATGATGGAGATGAGCTTGTTATTCTTGTGTTTTGCATTCTTGGGTAGACTTTTATACATGTAACTAGTGGCCATTAGATAAACGTCCCCTTCCACTGGACAATAATTTATCGCGACATCTGGAACGACTCTGACAAAATAGCCAATGATTGTTCCAGGAAATAAGCTCGTACAAGGAAGTAAATCTTGCTTGTCATGCTGAATGTGAAATTCACAGGCGGTTTCAATTTCAGCTTACGTTCCAAGAATAGCAACTGGCATAGGGAATGACGCTGACTTTGGCACTTTAAGACACTTATCAGTTTTAAGTCTGGAAAACAGATTGGCATGTTTGAGAACAGTTTACCGTAGCTGTCATCCCTCTTTTGGGCTAGCTAGTTGATACAAGATAGATATGGAAAACAAACACACATGGTGAATTCATAATTATACAACGAGGAATGCCACGAGGATAGATTGCACTTTCATGTGATATGCGAAATGGCATTACATTTACAACATTATCAAGATGCGTAACGATAGAATCTGACAACCAGGAAAAATACTTACCTGGCAGAGATGGCACAGTGATCATTCTGATCCTGCTTATTGCAAGTGAGTGTCCGCCTCTTCCAAGGTAGAGTGGTTTATCTATCGTTTTGTGCGCCCCTCTTTAGGGGCTACTACTTTTTGTTTGGTCTGGACAAAAAAATAGTTCCCTATTTTAAGTCCCACTGTATTATTCTGTTTAGCCCTAAATTATAATGTGAGATCTATATTCTACCTGTCTGGCACAAATGCAAACACAGTGTTAAACATGTACTCCGGGACATACACTATGCAACTGAATCATATACTACTTGTCTTAGTAGTTTTTTTTTTATTCGCAGCAAGTTACCATGTCAAATCCGCCATAAAGATATATTCTGATTTCCATACGAAAATGCACAGATACAGTACTAGTGTGTGCTCTGGATGTGCTATCCAGTAAGAATGTGACGTCAGAAGAAATGTAAAGTTCCGGAGAGGTGTGCTCTTCCCTAGGGATCCTGTGTAAATACGTTGTACACCCTATGCCGAGGTTGCTGCCAATTTTACGCTTGTTGGAGGTAATTACTGAGACTGAGCTTTCTCGGGTCACGAGATTGACACACCCAGATCTTACGTCGCAGGTACACAATCCTCTCTATTGTCCCCACACCACGATGTGCTGTCACGATTTGAACGCACCTGTAGATTCGTCCCTCAAATCAAGGATTTTCTCAGATTTATTTCAGACATTTCGTGTCTTGTTGATAAGTCTGTATGAAAGGCTGTACTTATATGCTCGTCTTTTTAACAGGTGTGTCAGAAACACGTCAGGAGCGCCTCAGGTGTACAGAAGCCAGGAGAGCGTACATAATCCCCGCACGTCGCCTGTGGGGAGGAGATAATGAGTCCGGACTAATATAAGTACCAATTGTTCCTCATCACCAGCTGATCCCAGCCCTCATATTAGACCCGATGACGCGGCTAATATGCCGCACCCTCACCAAATACGCCTTGATTGTTGCTTCTTTTTTTCAGTCCTTAAATAGAATGGAGGGGTTAGACAAATACAACGAGCGTGGCAGTTAACGTCAATTGTGCTTAAAAGAAGTACTCTGTTTGTAGCTATAGTCGATAGGGTACTTGATGTTAGCAACCTGACAACAGTGTGCTACATGTTGAAATCTCCAGGCTTCCCCGGGCCATGACAGGCAATGGATTGTAACTTGTGACCCCCACCCCCCTCCCCAACAAGTGTAATAAAATGCATGTGTCAACTGCGTATATACGGTCGATATGTGCGCAACAAAAGGATCCTTCTGCCACATATGATTTCCTGGTCCATACGATGATTTACACAAATGGTGAAAATTAATATATTCTTGGTAGAGCGAACAGAATAAATTAGCTATAGATGGGATTTGAATAGATACCGGATTGGACCAGTAAGGACTTGTTGTTTTCCACTGGGACTAATTAGTTAGTCTGAAACAGCAGCTATATCCCGCATTCTGAACCATAAAACATTTATCATGGGTATTTTTTGCACTGATTACACTGATGGTCAACCCCCATTAGGTTTGTATGTAGGATGGAAACGGTGGTGACGCACACTTGTGTCCACATGTGTGTCGCATTTCACATAAAACTAGAACACTTGGCTTAAATCATATTTTGTATAAATTACAAAGTCATCTATAAGTTTCCCTTTCCGCATATATGAATCTATGACTTGAAAAGACAATACGTCCATGCACTTATCACATCCATCTACATGTATCTTATTAAACCCTGACTAACTCGAAACATGTCTTCAGCATGCACTAAAACAGGCCAGCACTGTACATCCAGCCAAAGCTATGAGTCACACTTGTATGTCGACTTGATGGTGAGAAAGATGCTTCAAATTAAAGTGTTAGTCTGATTCTATGGATTGTGGTAATAAAAGCGAGAAGAAACCAACAATCGTGACCACCCCATAATTGACGTCTTTTACCGAATATCAAAAACGATAAAGGCACCCCGCCCCCTTAAGACTATAATATGTCTCCCTCCTGTAAGACAGCCTATGTGGGAGGCCAGTTTTATGTATGGATACCGTAGCCTGCTACGTGCGCGGTAAGCTCCACAGAAAATCGATAAGCTCCCGCCGTGGAGACGTAATCTCCTCCCTTCACCTTGAACCTTTCTTTCCCTGCATACATGTCTTTCTGCGCTCAGCGCGGCTGCGCGGTGAATGTGCCGCGCGGCGTAGCCCACATTTTGTACTGTTGTAATGCACCCGGCTTACACGGCGCCGGCTATTTATAACTCCCAGCCCTACGGCAACACTTAACTTGGCGAAATAGATAATACAGATATCTATAGTAACCCCAAATGTACAGAGTGTGGGAGTGTGCTCGGTTATTGCAGCCTGAGATATGACTAGAATGCTCAAGTGGTTGCCTCAGGTTGTCATCATAAAGTGCGGACGGGGTGTGCAGATTTAAGACTGCTCGGTGCAGTGGGAAAATGGTGGCATGGCACCAAGCTGGCATTACGTACTACGTTACAAGATTTACTAAGACTGCGACTAAGTAATAATCATAATGCTGCCATAACACTCAGTAGGTATTTACAGTGCTGAAAAATGTTTAATGGATTCTCTTACAAAGTGTAGAAATCTAAAATTAAATTGAAGAAAAACATGGAACATTAACACTGTACTTTATGACTGGTCCATCACCGGAGTCGGTGGGAGATTGAACAAACGAAGCATTAATACTTATCACAAGCCACCAGCACACTAATAGTCTCACTCCGCGCTGATAGAAAGCTGTGTCAATACTTTCTTGTCAATATGTCAATATTTTTGTGGTCAAACATTATTTCTCGGTCTTCGTTGATTGGTTGAAGAAGACTCCACAGCGGAAGGGGCGGGGCTGTTAAAATGCCCAGGCACATGTTCTAATGGATCCTTGTCATCTTGTAGGCTATCTTCGGGCCATATTTTAAGTGCCATACACGGTGTTGTATCGCCATGGTAGCCCGCGCGCCGCCCGGCTTTGATGTCGATCCATACCGCCCACGCGCCAGGCTTTCATCTAGAGTCCGAGTTTGGAAAATACAATTTGTAACTGGACAGGTATGCCCAAAAATGGCATGCAGCTGATGAATATCACTTCATATTGTTTCGTCAACATTGATTGTTGCCATGAGAACTATGGCTGATATAATCATGATAATGGAGCTGATTTCCGTGCTGTTTAATATAGCCCGGGGTCGCTCCAAAATGGCATATTCATAATAAGAAATTCATCTACCCACTTCTTCTGTAATGTATGGTTTCATTGACATTAATAGTAGAATTAAGTCCAATAGACATCTGTTGGCTTCGCAACTAACAATATGCTTTCAACACCATTTCATACACACATCTTCGACCGGCCGAGGCGTTTTTTAGGAGTACAGAGTAATAATGCGTTTTTATCTTATAGGATATCATTACTGTCTGTACCCAGAGTACTCACGTTACCCGGCGCTGAGCCGCCATAACCTGAGTACAAATAGAATTGATATGTCGTAAGAAATAGAGAAACGACATAGTAAACGAACCCCCCCCACCCCACACACACACAATGTAGAGATTGGGCAGGTGGGGTGAATACAGAATAGTGCTAGTGGAGTTAGCCGACCATAACGAATGTGTAACACCGGATTATTCTCCCTGTTTGCCCGATGTCTAACGTCTATCAGTAACCATATAAAGGGTCTGGTGGATGCTCTCCAAGCAGAGGTTGGTGGGGAAGCTAAAGATTGTTATCTTTCTATGTATGCCCCTTTTTTTCACCAGGTGTTGGTAGCGACAATAAAACGGGGCACGTATAGAAAAGTAACGATCTTCCCCAACAACCTCTGATTGTTCACTTGGAGAGTACTGGTGGAGACTATCTGACGTGCATTTTATGTACTTTACCCGGTAGGTACGGTCAAGTTCGACTGAAATAGTCATGTTACAATTGACTGAAGTAACTGACGCCTGTCTCACTTGACTCGAGTCCTCAGTGACTATATTCGTACATATATACTTGTAAGCTGGTCACGTTCGTGCAAAGGAGGGAGAGGCGTCCGTACTATGTTTAAGATTGACAGTTTTCATTACAATAGGGTGGGTCTTCTGTTGACATCATACCATTGAACAATGGAGCACATGTGTGATGACAGGTGAGATAAGCGGGATGTTATGTCAACACCTAGGGTACCTGTTTTACGTATGCTCAACAGCTGGGCTGTAACAGGTTAATGGACTAAGTTGAACAAGTAAGAATTATTTTTGTGGTGTCGAGAAAACTATGTTCGCACACCAGAGAGAACTACTCGGATGTAATCTCCAAGCAGATATCTGGCGGCAAAAGCATTACTGTTAGAACTGGCCATCAAAGGAGAGTCCGCAGTCCCATCGCCCAGACTGTCTGGCGAAATTGACACTGTCCCTGCAGCCACCGAAAGATCTGCTTGGAGAATACTTGGATCCGCACGTACCCCAGCTACTATTTCACCAAGCATTACAAACGTATATAGTATAGTCTGTACTGAACTCTCTCAAACGTCACTCAACTCCCCTCGGGGCTGTTGTTCCTCCACACCCATATTTGTCCTTGTCTGCGAGCATGTCTGAACGATTATATGACTCGGCAGGTCACGATCTTGTCAGGCACTATCAATGAGTGATATCCCCACAGTACACACACAGACAAAGGACAATGGCACATAAAAGAACGAACTAAATGTCACACGTAAGTCAAACCTACCTTTCGGCAATTTATTGTGCTCTCCATTGCTATATATGAGACAAAACCGCTTGAAATGATGTTCATACACACACACACACACACACACACACACACACACACAAATGATGTTCATACACACACACACACACACACACACACACACACACACACACACACACACACACACTAGAAATTTTTAATTGGTGTGCTTCAAGTTTATTCACCTTTCCATACAATTACCAGTAGCCCATTTGTCTTGTCAGTTGTTAATCTTTCACGGATTCTAGGAAGGCTTATTATGTGTGGCTACCTGTCTGCGGTCATGTTGAGTCTCGCCATCAGCCGTGCCTTTGTGTTATGGCATGTGTCAGACAATACTTTGTAGAGTGGCGAGTAGAGTGGTAATGTGAGTGTGGCCGAGTGTTATATTGGTGTGTGCGTGTACGTGTAGTTATGTAAAGTGCGGTCAAGGTTACCCGAGGACACTTTTCTGCTGGCATCCACGTCATTCCGCACTTGAAAAGCACTTGTCCAAAGTTCTCCAAATGAGTGTTCTTTGTCATGTTTGACGAAATACACCCCATCGCGTACGTCAAATTCATTGTTGGATTTTTGGTGAAACGAGATAAATGTTTACGGATCAGATATTTTGTAAAAGACAGATTTGACTTCACTGTTTGTTTTTTTCTGTTGACACTCATTGGATCGTGAGGGAGACATAATAGATGTTTTGATGCGTTTCTGCTTCGTTTAGCCCCAAAACATGTTCCAAACAAACTTTACAACAATAGCTAAGATTCAATTTACCCGCCATTGTTTACGTACGCATGCGCCGTGTGGATACGAAACCCCCTTCCGAGAAGCCCGGGGGAAAGGGCGGACCGCACGGGAGTCAGCTGTTTTTGTTGGGGTGGGGACACGTCATGTCAAGTTGACTCAGTACTGGGGAGGGGCTACCTGTCAGATTTGTAGGGCAGGGGGTCACGGCTAAATGGAGGTGTGTTCTTTCTCAGTAAAGGTTGTGCTAAAGGAGGTCATTGACATGCAGTAAGAGAACACATCGAAGTTCGCCCCCCTCCCTCCTCCCACTGACTTCTACCGGACTCTTCTATTTCAATCATTTCACAGGTGTGGTACTTGTACTGTTTGTAGAACTTAACAATGAGTCATTTTGCTATTCAAAAGTCTCTGTTGGACATGATGGATTAGAATTTGGATAGGATTAAAGATTTTCCTAATCCGACTTCAACTATGCCAGTGAAAACTTTTACCCGCGGTACGGTGGTCTGGTAAATATTTCCTACATTGTTCTTCAGTACATAAAGGTCCGTGGCTACGTAGAAAGTGACTCACTTCATTTGTTTTGTAGACAAACCTATCAGATTCTTTATCGTGGAATGTCATGATGTGAGGAGATACACAAAACAAACTTGTTTTCAGGCTCTGTCAGAAGTTATGTGTTACACAATGTGTTACACAATACACACTCATGCATAGCCTGTGTATACAAGCTCTCGGCCGGAGGTTAATGACCCCCACCCCAAGCGGCAACCTTAGGGCGGCGGCCGCCAGGAGCGCGATTTAGTCAGGCTAACTCATGCACTGTCATCTTCTGACCAATGGAATGGCTGCTAGAAGCGTGATATAGCAAATTGCAGACTTGTGAGGAATTTGTACACATAGAGAAATTCTTCATTGTGGGTATGCAGAATGCAGACAGAGTACGCCAAAAAGATGATACATGTACATAACTATATCATACACAGAGCTTGCGTAAGAATACTTGACACATGCACGCTCATGTCGTGTCTAGCCTGGTGCCCAAACCAATTTTGGATACGCCTAAAATTGAACACGTCAAAAATAAGCCAAAGCCTACAAAAGTACAAGAACCTCTGCTTGAAGAATAAGAAATTGTGCCCTGTACGTTGTCAGTTCACTCTCATCACCGCGCAAAGCCGGCGTTTTGTGGTGAAGTTTACCGCGAACAGCCTCAGGGCCAGCACCGGTTCAAACTTTATCTATGCCATGTTTGCAGCCTTTCTTCTTTATCTGCGTTTCTCATGCAGGCTAAGTGTTCGCAGTTTATCTATGCTTAACTTTTAGCTTTTCTTGTCTTATCTGTGTTTTTCGTGTCTGCTTTTACGCTCAGTGTATGTACATGTATCTGTATACGTATATGCACAGGATTTATAATTCCCTGGTATTTGTTGACCGTGCTACAAAGTACATGTAGTTTTGTGCAGTTGGTTGACGACGGGTTGATCAGATGCTGGCGGCCTGAAGCCGCTACTTAACCAGACTCTCTACTGTTCACGTTTGTTTATACATGAGGATGTATAATGGACTATCTCAGCCCTATGTAAGTCGCGTTGCCGTCCAAACCACGCTTACCAGGCTTGGCGGGAGAACGTCGCCAAATGGGCCTGTCAGATGATGAGAGATGGGTTGTCATGGCGACAGAACCAGAGCGGGGTTGTGAGTGATGGAGCTGAAGGTCTCCCGCTGATTGATAATCATAGAGGCTCCGGGGCAACGCCGTAACCTGTCAGTCATCCTGCCAGGAGATGCCGGAAGCACTGAGAGAGAAGCGTGAGGCTGGGTTTACATTCTGACATCAACTCAAGGACACTGGATACAAACATGAGGCAGTCTGCAATATGAAATAGTTTGTCTCGATACGTAGAACTTATAAGCATTACTGTAGGCGTCAGATATAAGCCAGATATGTAATGCCTTTGAAGATCTTGCCATACATTTTACCTGCCACAATTGTTGTGCAATAAACTTTCATGCAAACATGTCAGTGCATCTTATCTGAACACAGCGCGGTACTGTGTTCCGTTTGAAGCTCCTTGCTGTATGCAGGGGAAGTGAGGACAGTGGTAGTGAAATGGCGTCGTGACAGACGCTGCGGGGTGGTCAGGATAATGCCATCATCATAGACCCAATCAGTGCAGGAAAGTGAGATCAAATTAATAGGTGAGCACAAGGCACGGAAATAAAACATGATCTAATGCACGATATGGATGGACTGTCGCGTTTGCTGTTCGGAGCATTAAAAACATCAAAATTTTGGTCTGTGCATTTATGTAGTCCACCGATCTGTAGATTTGCAGAAATACTCAGGATCCTGGCCGAGGGACCATGTAGTACTAGTACTAGTACGAGTATACTTTCGCCCGCTGGCAGTGAGAGGTACTCTATATGTCATCCGCAGATGGCGAAGATTCATCTAAAAAGCACCTCATTTTTGAGCATGACAGGCATAAAACCCGTTAACTTCGAATACCGCATTACGAGATGTGTTGAAGCTTGTGCTGAGTAGTTAATTTCTCTCTCCAAGAGCAAGGCGTTTGCATAACAGCCAATGACGTACGGTAGGTTTTTCAGCAGGCCTGTTAAAAGTTATGAAAGAAATTTGACATATCCTATTCGTAAACAACCAAGCTTTGTAAAATGACTTTATAATTCCTGTAATGTTTCATTGTTGGAGGTCACAAGCCCTATCATATATGAACAATTTACATAAGATGTAATTTAGCTACCACCTGTCGAGCTGTGGGTATTATGAAAGACGAGGTCTTTACAGGAGCATCTAGCAGCTATTTCATAACATGAGATATATTGTATAGGCATAATGTACTTCTCACGTTTTTTGCCATGCTGGGCATCCAGAGTGATATGGGGACACGACTCCAATTTATGTATGTATCAACATAAGCCTTTAGGCATATCAGCATTTAGGCATGAGATATATTTCACGAGTTAGCTATACGTGGTTTGCATTGCTACATTTTGAGGAAGAATGAAACCATATATACACCACTTCTACGCAGTTTGATGGGGCACATAAGTATCAGAAGCACTCCTAATTACTTACGAATTTCCACCAATCGTCTTGAATTAACGTTTAATGATTTGCACAGCCCCCGGCCCTGTCAGTCACAGAAAATGGATGAGGCTGTGTTTGATGTACGCTGATGAAAGCCTCCCAGTGATGCGCCGATCTTACTATTGACATGCCAGCAAGTGGAAGTCACTGGCAGCCTGTTTGATATACTAATGATGACAAAGGCGAGGAAATGCTTCATTAACCCATGCACGGATGAAAATAGTCGCTCGTTAATATGAGGAAACCGAGTTGCTAAAATTGGAGTTTGGCATAATGCCGAGGTGACATATCAGATGGAACCGGAATTTAAAAATCATGATGAGGATGAACCCTTATTTCAGGCCATGTCAGGGGGATTTGTATTGCAGGCACGAAAACCGACGAGATACCGTTTGAAAGCTTCACTGTTCATATGCCGAAAAGGATATTATCAACTGGCGTCACAAATCTGTTCAGCTATCTGTAATATTTTTGGAAAATCGAAAATTATGGAGAGGACGACGTTAACTGATCCCAAATGCTGAGTATTAAATGCGCCAGTCTCCGACTAGAGAGTTTGTTCTTCCTGCCACCTGTTGAATTGTTACCCAGACCTGGCTGGCTTGAATGAGCTGACATGTTTAGACTCAGAAGAGGAAATAAACTACACTCCAGTTGTGTCCCGTACGTAGAAGAATGATGATAAGGACTTGTGTCGGCAGTTTTTGTATATAGGCGAGGAACACAATACAAGTACAGTACAGAACAAGATAACCATCTTTTAAGGCTCTTGTACCTAAATGATCCGGTCGATTCTGATGTTACATTACCCAATGTCATTTCAGGTTGTATAAATATATTTTCAGAGATCACCTTCAGATTTCTGGTGACGTCTACTTACAAATCAAACCAGTCAATTTGTGGATGGAGCAGCTGTATCATTGAGTCAAGAGTCACAACTGGACGTGGAAGGAGAAAAACCGCTAAAGCGGGATCAGTACGCCTACTTCCCCCAGGCGGAACCGCGGTAAGAGGCGGGTCTGATGCTATCAGACTAGGAACGGCGGATGCATCTGGCTCACGTAGGATGGACATGATATGTTTAGACTTGCTAGCTGCTCTGATTTGTATCAGGCTTTGTGGTACAAGTCCACCCACTAAGGCCAGTCTATCAGAACTATCTGTAATACAGGTCAGAATTAGAAGAACACGTGTAATAATAGATTCAACATTTATGGACATCAGATGTTCATTGAAAAATTGATCTTATTTTACAATACTTCCTCCGAAATTAATATTAACCAGGGCCAACATCTTTATTGCCTGCTTGCGGTCTATCATATAATTGGATGCAGTCTTCCCTTGTCTATTAGTCTTCAGCTCTGAAAATCATTCATATTTTTGACCCCGCATCTACTATACGTCCGTCATCACTATATGCTATACATAACAGCTATATTAAGTAATATCATTTACGTACTGCAACTGTTGTGATTACTTTATTTCGTAGACTAATCATGACTAAGCTAGACCTCAACATGGTAAGTAATGCAAAGTACATGGTACCGCACAGGAAACCAGGGGGGATTCCTGAAACTTTCCCCCGGCTGCTGCGGGCGAGGATGTGACGTTTACATGAGCCGTGCCGTGTCTCCGGGGACTTCAGGTCGGGACGAACGTTAAGTCTGACACAACAGCCCGACTGAGCCGTGACGACACACCTCTCACAACTTCTCAGAACATTCGTAAGGTGACACGGACAAGATGACCCTTAGTTCCTGTCCTTTGTTCTCTTCGTGGTAAAAGACATCTATCCCTCAGGTAGAGTGACATGGACCTAAATGTCATCCACCTGTTCAGTTTTTGCTGACATGTTCCATTTCTAGTTCCAAATGTCCAAGGATGCGTAGCTAAGAATATCGGTATGCCATAGTATGTTACCAAGCGCGGCAGTGGAACGTTTGTGCCATGGTCACGGTTCATGGCAGGTAAGTTGAACTAACTTACACTGTAGCATGTAGTTGTTGACATCCTTTTGTCTCGAGAGACAATGGAGTATGTAGTACTACAATACAATAATGAATCGGTAGAGGTCTCTCTTACAGGTGCCTTGTATGTGTACACAATGCACCAACTGGAAGTTAGCAGCCCTTTCGGCAGCCCATTCGAGCAGCCCATTCGAGCAGCCGATTCAAGCTTACAGGAAAGCTAGCATCCGATTCGTGTTTATACATTCGTTTCTCTTTTTTTTTTATTTAGTACATTTGAACGGATTTTGGGACGTGGATGTATACAGACTATATATACCTTCAGTTATTTGTCGATTAGGGGCTTTTGCTGAAGCTTAAAGACAGCAAAAACAAACAATTTTGAAAATAAGCTATAAGAGCCACACCTACCGGAGAGCATGCAGGGCGTTCTGTAATTGAACCAAACATGGCCCGTGAACTTGAAAAACTGATAATGATAGCTTTAGACACAGGTTATCAGCTAAAACTATTATATTGGACGGGCCACGTTTGATAAAGGAGCCACGGCTGGACTAATTGAGTAAAATGAGGTAAGAAAATGGGCTGCTATACGGATTGCAAGCATAAAGAAAGTCTTCCTGCCATTCGAACTAAATGTGGCCCGTTAACTTGAAAGACGGATTATGATAGCCAATGACCAAATCTATGTAATAAAAGTATCACATTAAACGGGCCAGATTTGATTAAGGCGCAACAGCGATACTTATGGAAGGGGGGGGGGTACAAGGCGTGTGGAACATGGCGGTCAAATGGGCCATCTGAATCGGCTGCTGGGAGGGTTAAAAGCCTATCTGTCGTTTAACTAAACGTGGCCCGTTAAATTCAAAGATTGATAATGATAGTCATAGGTCTAGACTATCTACTAAACGTGTCGAANAACATTCGTAAGGTGACACGGACAAGATGACCCTTAGTTCCTGTCCTTTGTTCTCTTCGTGGTAAAAGACATCTATCCCTCAGGTAGAGTGACATGGACCTAAATGTCATCCACCTGTTCAGTTTTTGCTGACATGTTCCATTTCTAGTTCCAAATGTCCAAGGATGCGTAGCTAAGAATATCGGTATGCCATAGTATGTTACCAAGCGCGGCAGTGGAAGGTTTGTGCCATGCCACGGTTCATGTCAGATAAGTTGAACTAACTTACACTGTAGCATGTAGTTGTTGACATCCTTTTGTCTCGAGAGACAATGGAGTACTACAATACAACAATGAATCGGTAGAGGTCTCTCTTACAGGTGCCTTGTATGTGTACACAATGCCATTCACCGCACGTCACAGACATAACCATTGGTACAAGTCCGCTATTGAAATGAAACAACTTGCCGCACTCACTATTCCCTTCTCTCTTACCCCCCCCCCCCCGGAGGAATGAGTTGTTACGGATAATGGCATGGATGAACAAATGTTATGTTTTCATTGCGACATAGTTAGGCATAGTTAGGCGCGAACGTGATCGCGAGACCATTCTTTCTGCTCAGTTAGGGAGTTTCTTATGTTCACGCCACTGAGCTAATCGGTGTCTCCAGTCATTCCGACTAACTACTGCACGACCAGAAGCATCGCTGTCGTGACAACAGGACACTGTAGTCTCTCCAACAGGCACATATTTGGGCTTAGAAAATACTGTAGTAGAAATTGGCCAAGTGGGGGAAATTCTTTGCCAAGCTATCTGGCCAATTTCAACCACATCCTCAGCTCTTGATGGAGAGTGTTGAAGACTAAGGAGATAGAACGAAAGAAATCGACTTCGTACTATCTCAGTTCTGTCATATTCACACGTTAGACACATTTCATGAACTTTTCTTATCGGATATCCAAACAGTACTAGTGATCTACACAGCTTGGTCTGCTCCTGTCTGTAACTGTAGATGTTACACGGGTGATGATCTCACCGCAGTCCAATATCCTAAGGGATATCTCTCATTTACTTCTTGTTCTTGCTCCAAGTTCCGATTGCCGAAACACTAGTGTTGATATCTCGTTAGCGGCCAGGACAAACATGAGACAGGGAAATCAAAGACTTTAAGTTCTCCACCTCTCACATGTTCAGGACTGACTACATCAAAGACGGGACAACCAGGCCCTGCGTGCAATTAAGATGTCTTTGTAGCTTTACTGAACACGCTTCCTGGTCTCGGTGTGTCACAGACATACAAACTCTACCTGCTACCACTTATAGCTCTAATACCCCCTCATGGGCCAGCTCAAACACAACGTTTGTTTCTGGTCCAGATATTGTATATTTTTACAGGATTCTAACCTGGCAACTGAGGATAAGGACAACTAAAGATGGTACAAAACTCAAACAGTGCAGTAGTGTCAGACGAATTTTGTATCCACACAGGGAGAAGCCTTCATGTTGTTAGTAGAGAGCCAATAGGTTACAAGTTGCTTGCTCAGTGCTTTAGTAGGATTATGTGTCTTTCCGTAGCGTGGTAGTCATTATATACACGTCCTTCACATATCATAATACGGTACAAAATTCCGTGTTTTGACTGGAGCAGACTGTAACATAGGCTGTAGAAATAAATACCGACGCTGTCCTTGTTTTTACTCAGGGATTTTGATACTTGTGTCTGAATTGGGCATGTTTTATCCTTGCCCGTGTTTGTTTGTCTGTTTCGTTCGTATGTTTTCTGTCTCGTGTGATCTCTTACTGAAAGATGAATATACAGTGATGAATTTGCCTGTAAACTTTCTGCTCCCTGCCAATAGTATAGTATTTTCTTATTGAGTTCAGCTAGCAAAACTATAGCGCGAAATTCGCTTCTCTGCTAACTTCCCAATAACTTGGACCAGACGGTACACGATGTAACTTTACCCGCTCAGTTGAGTTTGTTGCTGTCTGTTTCAGTGTCATTTTGGGACCAACTGTGTTGGGAACAGGCCATGATTCTGACCGTTGAACTACAAATGAACCCAGGCAGGATTTATCGCACTGCCCGCCCTGAGGCAAGGTGTCAGAAATAGTCGCGCGAAAAAGATATGATCGTCCCCGCGGCACGCGTTATCAACCAGCGCTGTCATCAAAGACTGGAGGTCCAGATAATCATAAACCTTCCTGGTATGATGATAGGTCTAAAGTATGAGAACAACAAAACGTGGAGTTTCCTGGACGTAATCTACGTGGATTTGTGTCGGCTACTTTAGAGAACACGGGGTTGGAGACCTTTAGTCTGCCTTGTTGTCACGGCATGGTTCAAAGACTGACCCGCGATCCTGTGTAGGGGTTACTTGGCCGTCCTCAGGCTCTTCCGATTGGACGCGTTTTTTCTTCGCACACTTTCCGCTCCAGTTTCTTTTTCCGTATCAAAAGAAACATGATGTCTGTGGCCTTGGGTTTCTAATTCTGAGCATGAGGTCATTTCTTGGTTGCGCGCTTTACCTAGCCCTAACAGTAAGGTCTGGGCATCGACTCAAACTGTTTCACCCCCAAAGAGTTCAACTTGCTCCATCACAATGATGAATTCATCGTTTATTTTCATAATCTATCTGGAAGTGTCAAACTGCTGTTATAAGTAGCAGTTGTTTCACTGAGTCAAAGTTGTTGTCATGTACGTTCAAGTCATGTCCGTCGACAAGTCGACAGTTCAAGTTTATACTGAGTTACACCGAAGTAGTTTACCACAAAAGTAGTAGAAACAGTGATACTGACTCGGATGTTCCCTCAAGCATCATTGAATCCATGTTACAAAGACGGATGTAACTCTTTAAGCCATTGAGGTCAACATTTGCTCCTACCACTCAACAAAATCCTTGCCTCCGACGCTATCAACTAGTTTTAATTTGCAGCTGTTTGAGTTGATGTTGTCTCTGAAAACATCTTAATGCTTGGTGTTCTCCACACTGCCCTTGACCTAGTTTCCTGGCCCAGACCGTTGGGTGATGTAATGTAGCCTTGAGTGTCCCAGAAGAGTTTGACAAAGTTGGTCCGTACGTTAATAGTCCTGATCTTCCCGAGCGCGTTCCATACGTGGCAGGTGCGGGTGTGTCGACGCCACCGGCCATTTCAGTCGTATTTCACATCGCCCTTGACACGAGGCGCTGTAGCGGAGCGACAAAACCAGGTGGCCGCGCCATAAATACATCAGCCCCGATACAGGTCCGACGGCGTCATTCCGAAAAAAACTCGGCTTGGATAGCTTTCAAAAATTGCAGCGAGGTTGAAACCAGAAACGTGTAATTAACAAGCGGCCATTGTTCTAGCGGCCCGTGGTTTGTTAGTGCCCTGCGGGAGACTAGGCAGGCGGCTCGGCACTTGAAGTTCGGCACGGCGGCAGAACCATTGCGCTCTGACACGTCGGTGGTATAAAGTTGCGCCTGCCGACCGGGGAACTCATTTAACCACCGGACCTGCCACTTTACATCGCCTTCAGGAGACGCGAGCCTGGACTGCCCGCCAACTGCACAGCCGGACGGACGGTGTCGTCAGTCATATCCACTCACCTGTCTCAGGTAACCCACATGGCGGTGTATGGTACAACTGTCAATAATTACCTTAATTCCACCTTTCATGTACTTTAATGCTCGTTTACACACTGCCTGATCACAGGAAATGTAATACAAGTAAATGTAGCTATATGTATGAGTTTGATCTCTGTTGGGCTCTCCATACATGTTGTTTGAACGTAACTGGTCGGCGCGATATAGAACGACCATCCAACCTGACACCGGCGATGTTCGGTAGTGGTCGTTTTACTAAGTACTATATTTGTTTAAACAACATTTTGAAGCTCGACTATATTGTTCAACAATGAAACTATTGAGGATCCAGTTGGAGCAAATTAACGCACCTGTAGTTATGGTTGAAGCTGAATGTGATAAAGTTTGCAAGACCATGTCTGGAGGTTGTGGGATACGGTTAGTATAGATTTGTATATCTTAATTTCATGTATTAACCCTTGTCCTGCGGGGCCCATATATATATGGGTTGCACATATAGTACCATCTATATAGT